CTCTGATATCAGATGGAGCTTGGCCATTTAAGGCTTTATATGAAAAACAAAGCAGTTTAATTAAAATGTCCTTACGTAAGAACTGATGCTAATAGTGTGAAGTGGTTTTAGGTAAACTAGCCTAATTACAATAATCCTTTAACTTGCATGATGCATATCGGTGAATAAATAAACCATTTCGTTTTGTTTTTTTTGCTGTAGCATTGCAGTTCTCCTGAGAGTGAACTGGGAAAGTTGCCTGGAGATGATGACCTGCTCCAGACGAGGCTGAGAACAGCAGCAGGTTTTGAATCAAAGCTGTAGTGGAGGATGTTCTTTTTCTGGGTGGATCCTCTCAATCAGTGGTCCTCCTAACTGTCAATCATTCTGGTGATGTTTACGTAAGGCCGTCCTTCCTGCTTTACCCCATTTTCACTAACCGGTGGTGAGTCTGACATGAAAAATTGGAAATTTTCTTTTGGAAAGTAAGCAGCAACTTTGAAACAGAGCGTGCAGGAGGAGAAATGGACTCCTGAACGCTCACGCTCGTGTTTATTAGGCGTTCCCCCGCAGGAGCGGGTACAGGGTTGTTCATGTGCATTTTTTTAAGTGGAGAGGGTGAGTCTTTTCGCAAATTCACAAAAATCCTCCACTATACCTTTAAGCACAAACAGTAATGCATCAGCAGTCACCATGGCAACTGATATCTGAATAGTGTTGGCAGCAAGGAAGGAGGTAGGAAAATGAACCTAGATGGTTACCAATAGTTTATTTACCATAGGGACCTCCTGACATTCCTATCTGGCCCTTAGGATTCCCATACGTAGAGGTACAGTCCACATCACTGAATTTAACAAAAATACTTTGCTACTTAGCCTGTAAATGTCAGACATGTGTAAATTAACTCCATATGTCTGAACTTTCATTTAGTTTTTTTACATTACACAACTTGCATTTCCGTTGCGTAACGACATCCAGAGGATTGAAGGCTGTCTGGGTTTGGCACAGCAGTTCACAGATACTTTCCTAGCTGCAGCAGTATTTTTATTGTTGACTCCTGATGGAAGAGTGGGAGCTACAGTACGATTAGATCTATTCCGAGAGTCGACAACCGGCGACTCCAGAGCTGCATGCGGCTCTTTAGTTTCCGGTGAGAGTTGGACTCCGCCAGGGCTGCCCTTTGTCACCGATTCTGTCCATTACCTTCATGGACAGAATTTCTAGGCGCAGCCAAGGTGTTGAGGGGATCCGTTTTGGTGGCTTTAGGATTGCGTCTCTGCAGCGAGAGCTGCAGATCACGACCTCTCGCTGGAGCGGTTCGCAGCCGAGTGTGAAGCGGCCGGGATGGGGATCAGTGCCTCCA